AAAAAAAAAAAAAAAGAAAGAAAGAAAGAAAGAAATACCTCCCTGGAGCCTGGGAAAGGCAAGGCAAAAATTCTCATCCTGGCCAGGTACTGTGGCTCACATCTATAAACCTAGCACCCTGGGAGGCACAGGAGAGAAGATCGCTTGAGATCAGGAGTTAGAGACCAGCATGAGCAAGAGTAAGACCCCATCTTTACCATGAATAGAAAAATTAGCCAGGAATTGTGGTGGGTGTCTGTATCCCCAGCTACTCAGGAGGCTAAGACAGGACGATTGCTTGAGCCCAGGAGTTTAAGGCTCCTGTGTGCTAGGCTGATGCCACGGCACTCTAGCCCATGCAACAGAGTGAGGCTCTGTCTCAAAAAAAGAATCTTCAGGCTTGGCGCCTGTGGCTCAAGTGGCTAAGGTGCCAGCCACATACACCTAAGGTGGCAGGTTCAAATCCAGCCCGGGACCACCAAAACAACAATGCTAGCTGCAACCAAAAAATAGCCAGGTGTTGTGGTGGGCACCTGTGGTCCCAGCTACTTGGGAGGCTGAGACAGGAGACTTGCTGGAGTCCAGGAGTTGGAGGTTGCTGTGAGCTGTGATGCCACAGCACTCTACCCAGGGGGATAGCTTGAGGCGCTGTCTCAAAATAAATAAATAAATAAATAAATAAATAAAAAAGAATCTTCAGGCCAGGAGTGGTGGTTCACTCCTATCATCTTAGCACTCTGGAAGGCCAAGGCGGGTGGGTTGCTTGAGCTCACAAGTTTGAGATGAGCCTGAGCAAAAGGAGACCCTGATTCTACTAAAAATAGAAAAACTGAGGCAAGAGGATCACTTGAGCCCTAGCTGAAGGTTGCTGTGAGTTATAACACCATAGCACTCTACTTAGGGTGACAGCTTGAGACTCCGCCTCAAAAAAAAAAAGAAAAAAAAGAGGGCAGTGCCTGTGGATCCGTGGGTAGAGCACCGGCCCCACATACTCAGGGTGGTAGGTTCAAATTCGGCCCTGGCCAAACTGCAACAAAAAAATAGCTGGGCGTTGTGGCAGGTGCCTATAGTCCCAACTACTCCAGAGGCTGAGGCAAGAGAATCACCTGAGCCCAATAGTTGGAGGTTGCTGTGAGCTGTGATGCTACAGCACCCTACTGAGGGCGATAAAGTAAAACTGTCTCTAAAAAAAGAAAAGAAAGATCTTCATCCTGTTGCAGCTGATACCAATCCTTTGTCAGGGTAGTATCTGACTATTCCACTCAGGAAGGGTGTGATGGTTCCCGCTTGTAATCCTAACAGTCTGGGACGCTGAGACAGGTGGACTACTTGAGTTCAGAAGTTCAAGATGAGCCTGAGCAAGAGAGACGCCTATCTCCACTGAAAATATAAAAATTAGCCAGCTGTTGGGCAGGCACTTGTAGTCCCAGCTACTTGGGAGGCTGAGTCAGGGGGGATCGCTTGAGTCCAAGAGTTTGAGATTGCTGTGAGTTATGACACCACAGCACTCCACTCCGGGTGACAGAGTGAGACTGCCCAAAAAACAAAACAAGTGAACAATAAAAACCCACAAGGCCGGGAGGTGCCTGTGACTCAGTGAGTAGGGCGCCAGCCCCATATACCGAGGGTGGCGGGTTCAAATCCAGCCCCGGCCAAACTGCAACAAAAAATAGCCGGGCGTTGTGGCGGGCGCCTGTAGTTCCAGCTACTTGGGAGGCTGAGGCAAAAGAATCGCCTAAGCCCAGGAGTTGGAGGTTGCTGGAGTGACTCCGCTGCACTCTACCAAGGGTGAAAAAGTGAGTCTCTGTCTCTACAAAAACAACAACAACAACAAAAACCCCACAAGGCCAAGAGAAGGGCAGAGCCTGGCTCTGCATCACAAAGTAGAATGGTGCAAAAGCCAACAGGCACCAGGTTTAAGGACCTCTCTTTAGCTTGAATGCATTTTGGTTTTGTCCTGGTCTGGGGCCTTACAAGAAATTGGGGTAATATCATGCAGTTGTCTTCTCCCAGATCTTCTGGCCTCTGCTCTCCATAAGCTATTTTCCTCATAGCAGCCACAGAAAGCCTATGTAAACCTGAGTCAAGTCACATCCCTCCCTTGCCTAGAACCCTACATGGCTCCTCATTGCTTTCAAAAGAAAAGTCAAAGTCCTCACCACAGTCTTCACAGCCTTATGTGATGTTCTACATCTCCCTGCCCTTCCTCCTCCTCTCTTTCCCTCACTTACTCTGCTTCAGCCACACTGGTCTCACTGTTTCTGCAACACACCAGGCACAGATCTCCCTTAGAACCTTTGCATGGACTGTTCTCTCTGCCTGGATCATTCTTCCACCAGATTTGCCATGGCTCTTGCCTGACCACCTTCAGGCTTGCTCAAATTTAATGTGGTTAATGAGGCCTTTCCTGACACACTCTCCCAGATGCAAACCACCCACAGGCATCTTCCCCAACTTCTTTGCTTTACTTTTCTCTTTTATTCATATCACTTTTTTTTTTTTGAAAAAGAAGTGTCACCCTGGGTAGAGTGCCATGGTGTCACAGCTCACAGCAACCCCAAACTCCTGGGTTCAAGTGAACCTCCTGCCTCAGCCTCCTGAGTAGCTGGAACTATAGGCACGTGCCACAATGCCCAGCTAGTTTTTGTATTTTTAGTAGAAACAGGGTCTTACTCTTGCTCAGTTTTGTCTCCAACTCCTGAGCTCAAGCAATCCACCTGCCTCAGCCTCCCAGAGTGCTAAGATTATAGTTGTAAGCTGCTCTAACCGGACTATTTTTTATTTTTTTATTTTTTTTTT